TTGGATAATTATTCTTTACCTTGTATTGATAGAAATTCAAAAGACCATGTTTTAAATAGAAATGGAAAAAGCTGTTTTTTTATGAATGTAAGAATTTAACAACAGTGAATGGCTATGGATTGAGGAATAAGTTGGGAGAATTTACATTTGCATAACCACAAGTTCTGTCATTGATTTCTTACTGATTCATATTAATTTGCTTGATCTGATTGTGGACTTTGTGATTGGTGACAGAACAGATTTTGGCCATTTCCCCATTTACTTTTTTTCTCCCTTATGGCATTCATTCTAAGATTTTTCAAAAACCAAACTCATTTATATTGGAATGATCAGTTGGTTAGAAAATTTGTCTAATTCAAATATTGCATTAAATGTTGATTCAGATCACATCTCTTTGGATGATTAAGAAGAAAAAATTGTTCTTTGGAATTGGACTTGGTTTTGGGAAAAAGAATAAAAAATGTTTGGCATTGGTTTGATTATGAATATCATAGGGTACTTTGCAGTAAAATCAGGCTTTAAATAGGTTACGATTAAAATCCCACGATAGCAATATTAATGGTTATCTGTAACTGAGAAATGAACCAAGAATCTGTGTAGGGCAAAAATCAAAAATTTTTTAAATGGATAATAGATAATTGTAAGTATAATGAGGATAATTTTTCTGACATGTGTTTAAGTGGTTTAATAAGACATTTTTTTTATGGAGGAGGTAGGAGTATTTTTTAAATTTGTGTGAATCTCAGTTACTTTATTTGCCAGACTCTGAATTGTATAATCAGTGTTCTACTTGGAAAGATGAGATTTTGATGTGGATATAGACACGCAAGAGGTGGAAGCAGTACTCATTTCAATTAGGAAGGGTAAGGCACTGCCATGAATGAAATCCTGATTGATTTTTATTACCACGCACCAAGCATTTTCCATGTACAGTGGTACCTCAGGTTACGAACGCCCCAGAATACGAAATTTTCAGGATACGACATGAAATTCAAACATATTTTTGCTCCACGATACGAACAAAAACTCACCATACGACGTTACATTAGTTCGCATTTTTCATTTGTTTTTCTTATTACAGTTATTTTTTTTTAATGTATTACTTGGCTTTAATTTGAGTATGTTTTTCGCGTTGGAACGAATATTTTGTNATGTTTGTTTCGTGCTCTCTCTTATTTAATGTACGGAACACAAGATAGAGCAATGGAGGTGCGTTCAGAAATTGTCAGATATGTGGTTAATGACTGGAGCAAGTTTTCAATTATGACCCACTACAGGAATGGTGATAACTACTTAACACCTGACGAATATTTTGCAAGTCTCAGGGGAAAACTCTCAAATTTGCAGGTATTGACTTGAGAGAACATTGCTTCTCTCATGGACAGTTTTATGTTGCTTGCTCACAAGTAAGTTCACCCAATAGCTTGATAGTTTTAGCGCCTAATGACAGATTAGTTAAGAATATTGTGTACAAAGTTTTGTAAGCCCTAATTTTTTACACACGCTAAACAAGCATTTTCATGATACGATCTCAGTTTCGGAACGGATTAATTTTGTATCCTGAGGTACCACTGTACTGTGTTTAACAGAATTTTTAAAAAAGAAAGAAGTTTGCAGACATAGCATATTATTAAAATCTTCTTGACTTTTAAAAGAGGTTATCATAGTTTACCCTACATTACTGGGGTATTACTCTATTGGTGTTCTTTCTAAGGTTTTTGATAGAATTTTGGTAAATTAATTAACTCATTGGTAGACTGCTTTGATATTTTTTGGATTTTTATTTTTATACAGATTTCAAAGGTCCTATGTTTTAGGAGTCGACTTTTGGAATTGAATAGTATGTATGTATGTATGTATGTATGTATGTATGTATGTATGTATCTAAATATATATAATTCAAAGGTGACTGACTGACTGACATAGTGATCTATCAACGCACAGCCCAAACCACTGGACGGATCGGGCTGAAATTTGGCATGCAGGTAGATGTTATGACGTAGGCATCCGCTAAGAAAGGATTTTGATCAATTCTACCCCCAAGGGGATAAAATAGGGGATGAAAGTTTGTATGAAACTTTGTCAATTTTAAACCGATCGGGCTGAGACTTTGCATGCATAAAGCTACTATGACGTAGGCATCCCCTAAGAAAGGATTTTGATAAATTCCACCCCTAAGGGGATAAAATAGGGGATGAAAGTTTGTATAAATCTTCTTAGATTTTCGACTGATTGAACTGAAATTAAAGATTGGAGCTACTATGATGAAGACGTCCGCTTAAATAGGATTTTGATAAATTCAACCCCCATGGGGATAAAATAAGGGATGATGGAGGATGTAAATGTATTAGTTTGAACCTATCAGTACCTAATGGAACGAATAAATTAAGACGAACAAAATAATTTTTAGTTCTAAATGTTGACAATAGATGGCGTTAGTAGTATTTTAAAACGCGCTATCGTTGTGTTTTCACTGAGTTACATATACCCGATGATGAGTGGCCGCCGTATCTAATAGTACATACTATACCTAAATATTTCTAGCGGATTATATTTGACGATTTTGGCTGTTCTTTTCTTGGCATATTTTGGATTGCATTTGCTTTGTTTCGGTTTAGTAGTTTTGGTTATAGACTCTGCTTTGTATTTGGCATTTGTTTTGTTTTCGTTTGGTTTAAGTATAGGTTTTGTCGGTTAGACTTTTTTAAAATGGCTAAAGAAAATCTGAACGTTAATGGAGAAGTTGAAGAATGTTCTCTCATGGACAGTTTTATGTTGCTTGCTCACGAGTAAGTTCACCCAATAGCTTGATAGTTTTAGCGCCTAATGACAGATTAGTTAAGAATATTGTGTACAAAGAAGTTTTGTAGGCCCTAATTTTTTACACACGCTAAACAAAAGTAAAGCCGCAAAAACTATACCTAATTAATAATAATACTTCTTAACGCGAGCGAAGCCGCAGGCAAAAGCTAGTTTATATATATAACTCAGACAGTTTTAGTCAGGAAATGGGGTAAATTATACCTTTTTATATTTTTTATTGATGTGCATGCAGCATTTGATTCTTTGAATAGAGAGCTTCTCTGGTCCTCCTTTTACTGAGGGGATTAAGTTACAGATTTGTCAGTTGTATCATTAACTGATATAGTTATAGTTACATTTTTGTACAAGCTTGTTCAGGGAAAACTGATTTGTCTTTTTATGAAAAGAGCAGTACAGCAGGGTTATGTTATCAGTCTTATTTTATTTAGTTTTTATTTAAATGATATGATAAATTGTATTATGGCATCTTTAGTGTCTGGTATTAATATTTGGGATGTAGAAATAAAGATCTTGTCTTATGCAGATGATTTAGTAATAATAGCAGATTTGATCAAAAATTTACAAAAGACTATTTTTCATAATATCTTAGAGAATGTCTTAAAGTCAGTTGAAGTTAAATTTAACAAAGTTTAAGATTATGGTTTTTAAAAAAATGGTGATGTGAGCTTTAACAAGGAAAGGTCTTTTTTAAAGGGCAAAGGATAGAGGTGATTAGAGAATATAGATATTTAGTAGTAGTGTTTTATTCAAATTGGAGATTTTTGAGATATTTGAAATTAATATCAGGTAACCAAATAAATAATGTAGTTTTTGAAATGTGAATAAAAATGTGTGTATTTTTTGTTTAAAATTATTTTATTCATCAAAATAAAAAATGACATTCATTTATTTTGTTACCTGCTATTTAAGATAATAATTTTAGAAGTCAACCACTTACTTAATTCTTGTGTAAAAGGGAAATTTATTAGATGGAAAAGAGAAAAAGACCATTTGTTTTAGTCTGATTATTTCAGTCATATTGTATGGCTCTGAGGTTTGGATGTTTGATTAAGTTTTATAATTTGAGAGGATTCAATGGAAATTTATTATAGTTTATGATAATGTTATATTATGCTCTAAGTATTTTTTTTAATTGAAGAGGACAGATTTTAAATCTGTTTTGTTTCAATCATGTAGGGATTTTTTTCTCTTTAGTTCTAAAATAGGTTGGGGAAAGAAGTTAATATGTTTTAGTATATTCATATGGTTATTAAAAGATATTAAAGTCTAGATTTGTTAATGAGAATTTTGGATATTTGTGTATAAAGTTTAGAAATAAAGCATTAGTTAATAATAAGATTTTAGAGAATTATATAATGGATAGATGAATTGGTAAAAGATTATTTGAATGCTGATATCAGCTTTTGGCACATTACGTATCTTTTGCAATTAAGATCTGGCTCTTTTGACCTTCTTATGAGAGAGAATCTAAATATTCTTTTTGTAATGGAAGAATATCAGAGTTACTCATTCATATTTTTTATTTTTGTATGAAGTTTGATGAGGATTGTAAAAAATATTCCAGTTTCCAGATCCTATCATTAAAGGAGTTTAAAGTGATTGAAAATTTCGTTACTAATATTACTACAATATATTTTTGTCCAATACCAAATTTTTTTGATTAATTTTAGCTTTTATTTTTCAGAGGACATTTTGTTATCTCTGACAATTAAATAAACAGGCATTGCACTTGGGTTTTTTCATGCCATCTGCTCAGCTGTGAATTATTTGGATTTTTGTTTTTTAACCCTTGAAATTTTGCTGTTTAATTTATTATAAAAAATTTTGATTTACACTTTTTATTAGTGCTCACAGCTGGACTGAAGGATTTTTTATTTGCATGCTTTATGTTGATGTATTGTGTATCAATTTATTGATTTTGAATTTTTGTAAAATCTTGTATAGCAAACTTGGCTTTGTACTAAATAAAATAAAAATAAATATATGAAAATTGAAGTTTGCTTATGCAAGATTAAATATTTATGTGATGTGTATATACACATCACATAAATATTTAATGTTGTAATAAAAGGAAACTAAATCTTTTATTATTTAAAAACTGTATTAAAGACCATTATTGACCATTATGCTACTGAATTATTTTTTATTGTATAGAACATCATTAAAAATAAACCTACTTGAGCAATATGATCACTGTTAGCACTTAATACTTTTTGCAATCTTCCTGCTTCTTTCAGTAACTTGGCCATAGCTCGATTATTCTGAAATACATCTTGAGAAGTTTTCTTTTGCTTATTGAAGCTTTCAGCTAGATAATGTTGTAACTTCAGTTGCATTGCTAAACCTCCTAAGGTACGGTCAAATCTGAGAAATTTAATGTTAAAACATAAATTAATTGCTCAAAAATAACATAATGTTCAATTACAGTAATTCTCAGCTAGAGTGCTGCAACACACTACTGTGCCTTGGCCTTCAAAGGCATGCTACAAATTCAAAAAAAAAAAAATAAATTTAGAAATGCTAATTTTCTTCTTTACATTTTAATATTTGCATATTTACACAAAAAATGCAGCTACTCAATGTCATATTTTGTTTATACATATAGAGACTTCTTTAATGCACCACTGACATTGGTAGGCCATCAAAAGTTGTGCACATGCATACCTAACTGAAAAAGGTTAAAGAACCACTGTTCAATTATAAAAAGAATTTTACAAATTACAGCATTCTTATTTAAATTATTAGCATGTTTTCTTAACAAAGCACTGTTTAACTATAAAATGTATTTTTTATATTGGCTTATTATTATTGACAAGATAACAAAATAGTTTATGTATCTTATTTAAACAAATTAAAACTATATTACATCATGATTATTTTAAATTGTATGTACAGTCAAGCTTCCATATAATAAAGTTCTATATTACAAATTTTTCTTAATGAATTTTGTTATGGATCATTGTAAATATATTTTTTTCACAGTTTTTAATTATCTATTTAACAAAGTTTTAAAAGCTAGATGATAAAAACCTTTTTTTTGTAATGAACAAGATTAAAATTAGTTGACTCATTTCGGCAACTGTCATTTCTGCAACTGTCATTTCTAAATGTAGTATAGATGCAAGTACAGTATGGATAATGTACTATACTCGTTATGGGGATGAAATACTTGTATCCAAGGATAGTTTCAAATAATTACATTTTTGATATATTCAAAAAAACAAGAAAATGTTCCAGATAGAATTTTTTACAGAGCTCCAGCTGACCCTGTCACACATTTGTGATGACTGTTTGTATTTTAAAAAAAATATATATCATAAAAAAACACAAATGAACATTTAATTGAGCTTCCAGAATTTATAGGAGGGGCTGTTTATAATGTGGGTAAGATGATGGAGTTAGGCAAATGACAATCAATTTAAATGATTAAAATATATTTATTTAGTAAAATTAGTCAAAATCCTTATATAGAAATAAAATGATAAATGAATAAAATTATTAAAACATATTAGAATAACAAAAAAGTATCTAATTATAATAAATCTTTCTTTAAAGAAGAACTCAAACAAATACCGCACTAATCTTCTACATTTCTGAGAGAAAGTTTACAAAAATATATAACCTTGATGATATTCAGTCTTTCATGTCAGAGATGAGCAGATATTTAATAAGAATGCATGAAACTATGATTAGAATACATGAAGTCTAAACTTGCCTCATGAAAGGTGAAGAACAAAGCTTAATAATGAGCAATGGGCTGAGCTAAGTTAACTTAAATTGAACTAAGCAGATCTGAACTAACTAGCTAGTGTTAGGGGTGACCTGTCACCTTTTTTTTTTAGAAATCTCCAATCTCCAAGAATTTAAAACAAGCCCTCAACTCTTCTGATGCATGATGGAAGTTTAGCGGTTTTGCAGATAGTGTGAAAAATCCCATGCTAAACTATTGTTTTTGAAAGAACTGTGTTATCTTTCTCCAACTAAACAGGACATTCCTTTTTCAACTTAGATATTTACTTGTTTTGTAAAAATTGTACAATCAAGTAATTGTGACCTTTCGGGTCGGCACCTCTTTAGTGCCCTGTCAGGATTGACACCACCGTGTTTATCGGAACACAGAAGCCAAGACGGCAATTACTACATCACACCATCGCGCGAGTGGTCCTGTAAGTGGACAGACAGATCCATAATGTCAGCCAATCGAGAGACAACATAGGAAGTGGCTCGAAATACAATTAACGCTTAACAAGGATTTAAGCGTATTATTGGAAATAAATTTGATAAAATACAGAATTCTAAGTTTGTGTCGTGGAGAGAGAGTTCACATAACAAGCACAAGTTGTAAAAATACCTGGTGATAAAAGATTGGAGTTCTCGTTGGTGATAATAGTTCCAATGGGAATTAAGTCCACGCCAATATCCACCAGCACAAGAATGGCACAAGGTATCCAAAACAGACACTGATTGATGATAGTCCCCACAAACTTTTTCGATTTGGCCTTAGTTTTGAGTCATGTGCAAAAACCTGTCAATTTTTTAAAATATTTTTTGGAATATCTCCAGTTATAGTCAACCAATTTCAATTAATTTTTTTACATACCAAGAAAAAACATGGATTATTGATTAGAGAGGTCTTGTACGGGTCTCAAAAAGACCTAGAACTAAAAAGTAACCATGATCATTAATCTACTTAACTAATGAAGCTTAACTATATTTTAAAATTAATACACAGTTTAAGACTATACAGTTATAAACCCCTTCCTACCCACACTCGAGTCTGACTCGAGCAAGTGCCATAGCGTTACAAAAATCCAGGCGTGAGGACCCCAAGAAAAAAAATTTTTTTTTCAATTTTTGGAATGTTTTTTAGGTCCCAAATTTTTTCAAAATTTTTTTCCCGCACGAAAAAATTTTATTGTGATTTTAATCAACCTTTAATGATGCGTGATTAACAATTAATTGTTTTTTAATGGGATTTTTTTTAATCAAATTTAATTCATCGTTCTAAAGTTGTAGTGCACGGATTTGACTTCGGTAAAGTTATTTAAAGCTGCTTTCTGATGTCAAAAACGACCTCCAAAACTTTTTAAATTTTTTTAATTAATTGATTTTTTTATATATTAATTTAATTAATTAGGGGGGTCGGAAATCGCAATAAAATTTTTAATTTTTTAAAAATATTTAAAAGTATAGGCCTAGCTAGTACTCACCCTACTTTAAACCCTTGTCCTCCCGAGACGTCTATGAGAATGCCCCGGGAAATACGACTCCAGCTGTTCTCAAGGTCATCCAGCTGTGTAAACAATGACTCATCGGTGTCAAATTTCACAGAAAGGCGAGACAAAGAAACTTAAACTTTGAAGCTTTTTCTTCAAAATTAACGCATTTCTTTTGTTTTTATTTCAGTTTTAAGTATTTTTTATGCTTAATTAAAAATTCTAAAAAAAATTGGGCGACTCAAAAGGGGTTTTAAGAGTCTTTCAATGTCCTTTCTCATACCTCAACCTCTAATAAAAGGTAGACTCTGCATTAAAACTTATTTTCTTGAAGCATGAGAAAGGACATCAAAAGATTCATTATTGTATAGTCTTAAACTGTATATTAATTTTACAATTATAGTCCTGGCAATTTTATCAAATATACATTTTTAATTTTTTGCAACTAATTTGAAGACTTGACACAGACCCTAGGTCTGTGGTCAAGTCTTCAAATTAGTAGCACACAAAGCTTTATTATTACAATTCATCACACATCCCAAAACAAACTAATTTCAAGGTCAGTTTGGTGACCTTAAAGTAAAAGATAGCTGATACTGGACTCAGATTGAAAGTCACAGAAATTTTAGAATGCAGTTAAGCTTCATTAGTTAAGCAGATTAACAATTAATTGTCACCTTTTAGTTGTAAATTTTCCTAAGATCTGTACAAGACTAAAAAAAATCATGCTTTCAAAATTATAAAAAAACTATTTATATCAACATCTCTAAATCTGATTTATTAGTTAAACCAAATGAACAGACAAATTATTGGGCAATTATAAGGCTAAGTTAATGATTAGAAACTAATTAATTTGTCTAGAGATAACATGAGATGGCAGCATAATTGCCTAATTTTAATAATTATAATAAATTTAGCCATATAATAGCCTGATAATTTGTCATTTGGCACTTCATTTGGTTTAAAATTTATTCAAGAAAAATATGCCTTCATTAAAAAAATTAATAATAATATAAATCAGTTGACTAGAACAAGAGAGATTCAAAAAATTAATATTTTACAAAATTCAGTTTTTCGTGCATGACTAGAAACCAAAGCTGAATCAAAAAAGTGTATGGGAAAAACTTTTTAAAACTTTATATTCTCACTTGCAACACCAAATATACTACATACAAGAAAATTGTACTCTACTGTCTTTTGGTGTTAAATTTACTTGTTTGATGAATGAATTTCTTATACCTAGGGGATATTTTGTATTCAACATTTTCTATTAGGTGGCAAAGTATCATTCAAAAGATTGGAAACACACTGTATTTATTAGTGCTTATTCTGTTATAAACATAAAACATATGAGATGTAATTAAACTTTAAATTATAAAATTTGCACAAACATTGATTTAAAACACCAATTATATATTTTCACTTCCTATATTGGATAAGTAATTATTTTATAACATTTGGTTCCATAGAATGGCTTTTATTTAGATCTTTTGTTAAAATTATAATCAAATATGATACTGAAAAACTAAATTATCTGAATAGTGTTGATAACAAAATACAATGGGTATGGCCTACAAAACTAGATAAAAACAAAGCAACATCAAAACTAACTACTGCAATAAAAATATACAAAATATTTCACATTAGTTGACCCCCCTATAACACTGTTGATAATTCCGTGTTATATGAATTCCATGTTGTACGAGTCACTTAGATTTTACAAATACGTGTGCTGGGCTGTGAACGGCTCACATATTTGTAAAATCTAAGTGACTCGTACAACATGGAATTCATATAACACGAAATTATTGACAGTGTTATAAGGGGAGTCAACTGTATTGCTAGATAAATAGTTTTGAATCAAGAAATATTAATAAAAAAATAAGCACCTTTATTGAATAAACAACATGGATTGTCTGACCAAAATTTTGATTAGTGGCTTTTAAACAGCTTATAAGGTTTCTATTTAACCAGTTAATCCAGAGATTACACAAAATAGGCACTTTAAATTTAAAAAATGTGTGCACACCAATATTTTGAGTTTGAATCTGAATCAAAATGCAAATATTACAAAAAAGTTACTTAAAATTAAATAAAAAATCAACAAAAATATTTTTAATAAATTCAGTAACAAATCTATGAAACTTACCCTACACCTTTTATAGTAACAACTGGATTAGTTTCTGCATATCCTTTGTCTTTAGTTTTTACCATTTGATAACTTGCTATTGTTGCAATAGTATTTCCAGCTCCCATATCAAAAAACAAAATATTACTTGGAGTTTCATTGAAATCTTTTCTTCGAAAAACACCATAATTCAGAGCAACTAAAACAAATTAAAGTATTATTCTTTTTTAAATTTTAGTAGTATTAATTTAATATGGATGCATCAAAATATTGCTTTATATTTAACAGTTAAGATGCAAAATATTTTTATGAAATTAATTCTTATGGCATTACTATAATTTTTTTACATAGCCAAATCTATTCTTAATGCATTATCTCTATTAATAATTTAAATTTCCTACAAACATCTCAAAGTCAGATGTTTTTAATAATAAGCTAAAGGATTACTATATTGAATTGGACTACTTTACGATGACTAAAAGCAGTATAGTAGTCAGATTCAATAAAGTGATCATTTGGCTTAGAATTAAATTTCCTTTATCGGAATAAAAACTGCTAACAGTCTGAAAGAGCTACTTGTTTATTTTTGCAGCAACAATCTCATTAGTAAATGATTTTTGCAATTACTACTTAAGTTAGCAGGAAAAAAAGTTATTTCAATAGACCAGATATGAATTATATAGTGTTCTACATAAATACTTCAACCTTTCTTTGACTTTATATTATAGTATTATTGAATTGATAAGAAAATTTCACTTTTTAAGGATTAACAACTGAAGATTGTAATTACTAGACTGACTAGATTGAATAATACAGTAAAAAAATAACTTTAGACAAAAATTTAAGATTTCAATTTACAGTAAAGGTTATTAATCTGACATCCACTAATCCAACAGATATTGAAATATAATTTGATAAATTGTACATAGTCTACATTATACTGTAATGAGCAAAATTGCTTCATTAGAGAGAGCACACATTTTGTGTTGGGTAACATGCCATAATTGATTAATTTCTTTCCCATAAACAATACAAAGACAACATATCTAAAACAGATTTCTCCAGTTCTGAGCATACAAGGATTTTATGAATCTTTATATAGATACACATAAAATGCACACTTGCACACACACATACGCACACACAATGTCATGTAATCATAAAGTCCCTGCATAGTGGAGGGGGAAATGAGAGAAACTTCCAGGAACAAAGTAATCATATAACTGTAAATTGAAAGTTAAAGTAAGTTATTATGTCATCATTTGACTGGTCCACTGTGGAGAGACAATAATCACACTGTATATATAAAATGTAGTAATAAATTTCAGAGTCAAATTGAACTGCACATTATTATTTACTTCTCTCTTAATATATTTATTAAGAATAAATAACATTTGCATAGGAATATAGCATATATTTAATATTTAAACACAGTATATGCTTGTAAACAGAAAGATTGGTTTAAGAATATTTTTTTTACAAATCCTATGAAAGCTAAAAAAATTTAAATTTTATTGAATAATTTAGGAGAGTATAAAGAAACCTTAAATTTACAAACTCAAACATTTAATTCCTATACATAAACAATAAATCTACTAACCCTGCCAAAGAATTATGAGATGAAGGTCTACTACCTCTTGTCAAGTACTGGTCTAGAGTGACCTGCTTCCTGTTACTTTATATGTAATTAAATTAGTCTTATTATATCCTGATAATATAACAGATCATTTGGCATACAATTCCCTTTTTTTAAGTATTAAGTTAATTTATTCAGTTGTAAATTTAAACTGTTTCCATTTCATCTTGCCATTAAATAAAATATTTAGAATAATGCCTGTGCAATCTTTTTTCTATAAGCTACAGGTTGATTGCATTTTTTAATGACCAATAGAACCTGAAGTGAAAATACAGTAAGATCATGTTAAGATGTTTTTGAAGAACTGGATTGGAAAGATGTCTTAAGCTTTAAGACATCTTAGATGGAAATAGCAAAAAACGTTTTTTAATAAGCCAAACAATTGCTGGATTTTTGGGCTACTTTACCACTACTATTAATAATTAAATACTATGGAATTTGGTACTAGAGATATGCATTAAGTGCCATCACCAACTTTTTTAATCCAGATATTTAATTACAGAAGGGATACAATGAAATGTAGTAGCTACAGCTTTTTAAAGTACTGATCTAGAGTGACCTGCTGTTTGTTTTTAGTGCAAGCTAACATGTAAAACTAAGAAAAACATCACATAATATTCAGATCAATATGGTATTTGAAAAAATGTATACAGGGGTCCTTGTTTAACATGGCTAACTAGGACCAAAAAGTTATCAATAAGTAAATCTACATAAAGCAGGGACGGATCATAAATTCATAGAAAAATCACAAGAAAAACATTTATTTGGGACTTCAATAACATAAAACCAAATGAACAAAAAAAATGAAAGAAATTATCATCCTAATTTACACCTATGTAAAATATTTATTATTAATATAATTTAATATTAGAAATTATTAATAAATATTATTTTTGACTGAATTTTAGAAGGGCCTGGTGGTATTTCATTTTCACTGACTGCTGAGTTTTGATATATGAAAAATGAATCTAAAGTTGTTCTTAAATCCATAACATTTTTGAAAATGGTGAAACAGCCTTTTGATGCCAAAAATTTCTTAGCTTTCACTGACTCCTCCTCTCCCACCTCTTTTCAAATATCTTCATACAAAGAAAGCTTTTTCTTAGATCAGGGCTAAGCTTATAGGTATAGGAATCTTCAATCCATGTTTACTACATACTTTTCTATTATTTCCATTACATCATTGCTCAGTCATGTTAGTTTCACTTCAGAATGACAGCCTAATTTTAGCTTTGGCTTCCAAATCCAAGGCTTTGTTAACAATTATGTGTACTGTAGTCTAGGAAATGTTAAAGGCATAAAAAATATCAACTACACATTCTCCTTTCTTCTTCAGTTAATTATGTCTATTTTAACATCTAGACCAAATGAAACATTTCCTTTTAGGAATCCATCAGTTTTGTTGATATTTTCAGTAAGAAAATCAGAAAATGAAACAAAATACCAACCAGAACAAAAAAAAAACAAACATGTGCAATAATGCATTTTGTGTATGGTGATAAGTATCAATGCATACAAAGATCATATGGTACAAGAGGAAGTTAGCATCTCCTGGAAAACCACATAAATGCGGAGAATTTTTAAAATGGTGTTCCACAAATTTTTTACCATGTAACTACAGGGACTTGGATAATGAATACTCATTAAATGAGGATTACCTGTATACAGTAAAAGTTGATATAACAGACCACCACAGGACTGAAAAAATTGGTCAATTATAATTTATGTCCATTTTATCATAATTACTCATTATTATTGATTCATCCATTATATTGAAAAGTCTATTACTATATAGAAGAATTTCATTAGAATGAATCTCAATAATAGACCTTGAGAAAATATCTGCAGTTTTGTTTTCTTCAGGTCCAGATGCCAAATCAATGTATCTTTACCCCATTTCAGTGAATCTGTTATCATAAATATAAGGGGTTCACTGTATACAGTAATATCAACTTGTCTATTACTGTATATGATATCGTAAACAAAAGTCAATTACATAGTGGAAAAAATTCAGTTTTAAAGTATATAAGCCACATTTCTATTAATCTTGTGATAACAATACATCTATCTATCTATCTATCTATCTAGTGGCATCCTCTCTACAGAGGGTTGCATTTGATGAACTATTCTTCTCCATGTTTCTCTATTCCAGGCTTCTCTTAACATCAAAGACTGGACTGGAAAGGATTTATCTCTCCAAGTCTTTCGGGGTCTTCCTCTAGGTCTTGTCCCCTCCACCAGTCTGTCAATCACAGTCTTTAGTAGTTGTCCTCCTGATCCTCTAGCCAAATGTCCAGCATATCGTACCTTTCTTTGTTGGATATTTATAAGTAACCTTCTCCTCAAGCCCAGCCTGTCCAAAACTTCCTCATTTGTTATTTTCTCCGTCCAACTTATTCTTTGCATCTTTCTCAAGCACCACATTTCAAATGAGTTAATTCTTTCCATCATTTCATGCGTAAGAGTCCATGCCTCACATCCGTATGTTAGTACACTCCAGATCATTGTCCTTAGGATCTTTATTTTCAGTTTTATATTAAGTCCTCTGTTTGTTAATATATGATAAATCTGATAACAGGCAGCTTTTGCTTTATTAATTCTGCTTTTAATTTCCATTTTACATCTATTATCACTTGTTATCCAGCTTCTCAGGTATTCAAACTTTTTAACCCTTTCAAGTTCCCTATTTCCCAAAATGATCTGGAATTCATCCATATCTTCCTTCTTTGAAACCTTCATTACTTTTGTCTTCTTTTCATTTATTTTCACATGGAATTTCTCCAATCCAGTTTTGAACAGTCAATTCAGAATTTTCTGTAATCCCTCTTTACTTTCACTCAGCAGGACTATGTCGTCAGCGTATCTTATGTTGTTTATTAAGCATCCATTGATTTTCACTCCTTCGTTAAAATCCTCAAGTGCTTCTCGCATCATCCACTCACTGTAAATATTAAACAACAGTGGCGAAAGTCCGCATCCCTGTCTCACTTCTTTTTCCACCCTTATCCAGTTGGATTCTTCCTCGTCAATTTTTATTATTGCTTTCTGATTTTTGTATAAAAAGAGAATAATTTTAATTATCCTTTTATCTATTCCAATTTTTTGAAGTATTTCAAATAAAATTGTGTGATTAACATCGTCAAACGCCTTTTCATAGTCCACAAAGCACAGATAAAGATCTCTGTTTTTTTCAATCATTTTTTCTCCAATAAGTCTAATTAATGTAATGGCCTCTATAGTTCCTTTGTTCTTTCTAAAACCAAATTGTGTATCATTTAGTTCTACTTCAATTTTCGGTTCTATTCTTCTATAGATAGTACTAGTTAAAACTTTTGAGATATGGCTTATTAAACTTATTATTCTATGTTTGTCGTATTCCAGTGTTCCTGCTATTTTGGGTATAGGTATAAATATTAAATTAGTAAAGTCTGTGGGTAGTTGTTGTTCTGCAAGAATTTTATTGAGAACATGACTTATAATCCTTCTTCCCTCAAAACCCATTGACTTAAGCAATTCTCCATGCAAGCCATCAATTCCAGGTGCCTTCCTATTCTTCAATTTTTTCAAGGCTGCCTCAACTTCATCCTCCAGAAATTTAGGGGTTTCATCATCGTCATATTCCTCTTCCAGTTTACATTGTATGTTATCCTCTGTTTTATAAAGTTTTGTCAAATATTCGTTCCATCTTACTAATTGCCTTTCCTTCTGCATTAAAATTTCTCCATTCTCATCCTTTATTGCCCCAATTTTCACTCTTCTTTTCTTTCCTAAAATTAAATTAACGTTTTGATAGACCTTTCTCAGATCTTGAGACGATTCATGTTCTTCTAATTCATGACAGATTCTGTCTAGCCAATCTTCCTTAGCTTTTCTTGCCATACTTTTCACTTGTTTATTGATTGTTCTATATTTTTCTTTAACATCTGTGTCATCCGCGTGTATATTGTCGGTCTCTGCTGTAAAAAAAAAAAAAAAAAAAAAAAAAAAATTTTTTTTACCTATAATCATCTTTGTATATATACATATATTCAATGTAATTAATGTAATCGATCATTGCGATTGCTGTACGCGCGGTTTTATTTGTGTTTTGGGCGGTTTTTGTGTGGCAGCACGGTGAGAGTGGTGGAGGAGTTATATATAGTGGGGAACCGGAAACCATTCATTCTGGTTCCTGGCGTGCATGAGTGAAGGTGTGTCCTTCGATTGTCTTGTGTAGACCCTTTGTGCTTTGTGTAAGCTGCCATGTGCCAGGCTTAAGCCGACCTATCGTATTGTGATTCAATTATAAATATATATTTGGTGCATAAAGTTTGTTAGGTAATATATAGTACTGGTCTCCTCCTTTTTTGTGGCAATCATTTTTCATTCACCCCTGCGGATATCATACCTCAGATATTCGCAGATTCCACACATCTAATGTATTTGCACTTTTCCATCTTCTCCTTTCATCCATTTTCTCCAACACCTCTTTAGTAATCCAAGGTCTTCTTGCTTTTCTTCTCTCCTCTCCCAAAACCTGGTAAGCACTTTTTTTAATTTCCCCTTTCATATTCTCCCAAAGTTCTTCCACATTTCCTTCCAAATTTAAATTTTGAAGTCTATTATTAGTCATACTCTCATATTTTTCCCTAATGTTGTTAATCTTCAAATCATCAATTCTCATTCTTTTATCATTTCTATTTCTTTTTATGTGCTTCAATTTAACTCGGATCACGGAGAGCAAGAGGTTGTGGTCGCTGCCACAATCCGCCCCTGGATATGTTTTTATATTTGTAATTGTGTTCCTGTATCTATGATTAATCAAAATAAAATCTATTTGATTTCTAACTTCGATTCCCCTTGATCCTGGGGCTTTCCACGTATAAAGTCTTCTTTCGTGATGTTTGAACCATGTGTTCATCACAGTCAAGTCCTTTTCCCTACAGAAATCAATCAATCTTTCACCTCTATCATTACGTTCTCCAAGTCCCCAGGGGCCAATAACAATTCCTTCTCTTCCTCTTCCAACTTTTGCATTCATATCCCCCATTATTAGGAGAATATCTCTATTATCTTTTCCTTGAATACATTGGTTTATTTGCTGATATACTTCCTCTACTTCTTCGTCTGTGTGATCTGTAGTAGGTAGGTATGTTTGGATAATCAACATATCTCTTGGTTTCATCTTGATCCTCAAGGCAATGACTCTATCCGATATTTGCCAATATCCGTCGATTTTACATGATGTTTTCCTATCAAGGATAAATCCAACTCCTCGTTCATGTTCCTTTCCTCCTGAATATATGAATCTGAATCCTTCTTCTGTTTTTATATCGCCTCTTCCTGTCCATCTAACCTCGGAAATACCAAGAATCGATATTCCCAGAATCTTCATTTCTCTGATGACATTGGCCAATTTTCCAGTTTGATAAAGGGACCTCACATTCCAGCATCCCACTCTTAGACTTTCTTTAAGAGCTGCTTTTCTGATTGTCTTTCCTTTATCGGCACCAGGACTTCCAGACGGCTTTAATCCAGGCACGTCATTTGAAGCACTCGTTTCCAGGAAATCCAGACCATGTCCGCAGCATCTCTCCCTGGTAGCATACTGCACAAGGACAGACCCAGGGGTCCCATCTGTACTTGTGCATATCTCATTTATACTTCGTTCAATGTTCATCAAGTCTTGGAAAAAAAGAAATAGAACATGGTGGTTTTCCGTTGCCTTCCATGTTTCGAATTCAAATTTGAAATTTGAATTCGAAACATGGAAGGCAACGGAAAACCACCATGTTCTATTTCTTTTTTTCCAAGACTTGATGAACATTGAACGAAGTATAAATGAGATATGCACAAGTACAGATGGGACCCCTGGGTCTGTCCTTGTGCAGTATGCTACCAGGGAGAGATGCTGCGGACATGGTCTGGATTTCCTGGAAACGAGTGCTTCAAATGACGTGCCTGGATTAAAGCCGTCTGGAAGTCCTGGTGCCGATAAAGGAAAGACAATCAGAAAAGCAGCTCTTAAAGAAAGTCTAAGAGTGGGATGCTGGAATGTGAGGTCCCTTTATCAAACTGGAAAATTGGCCAATGTCATCAGAGAAATGAAGATTCTGGGAATATCGATTCTTGGTATTTCCGAGGTTAGATGGACAGGAAGAGGCGATATAAAAACAGAAGAAGGATTCAGATTCATATATTCAGGAGGAAAGGAACATGAACGAGGAGTTGGATTAATCCTTGATAGGAAAACATCATGTAAAATCGATGGATATTGGCAAATATCGGATAGAGTCATTGCCTTGAGGATCAAGATGAAACCAAGAGATATGTTGATTATCCAAACATACCTACCTACTACAGATCACACAGACGAAGAAGTACAGGAAGTATATCAGCAAATAAACCAATGTATTCAAGGAAAAAATAATAGAGATATTCTCCTAATAATGGGGGATATGAATGCAAAAGTTGGAAGAGGAAGAGAAGGAAATGTTATTGGCCCCTGGGGACTTGGAGAACGTAATGATAGAGGTGAAAGATTGATTGATTTCTGTAGGGAAAAGGCCTTGACTGCGATGAACACATGGTTCAAACATCACGAAAGAAGACTTTATACGTGGAAAGCCCCAGGATCAAGGGAAATCGAAGTTAGAAATCAAATAGATTTTATTTTGATTAATCATAGATACAGGAACACAATTACAAATATAAAAACATATCCAGGGGTGGATTGTGGCAGCGACCACAACCTCTCGCTCGCTGTGATCCGAGTTAAATTGAAGCACATAAAAAAAAATAGAAATGATAAAAGACTGAGAATTGATGATTTGAAGATTAACAACATTAGGGAAAAATATGAGAGTATGACTAATAATAGACTTCAAAATTTAAATTTGGAAGGAAATACATCTATCAGTAAATCTATAACTTTTCATTTTCTTTTATGATCCATGACCCTTTCAAGATCATTACATTTCTTTCCATTCTTCCTTGAAACTTATAATGGGAGCAGCAGACTAAGAAAAACATCACATCATATTCAGATCAATATGGTATTTGAAAAAATGTATACAGAGTTTTGACAGGAAAGCAGGTTGTTGGCAATGGAGTTTTTGAAAACTCAACTTTAACTCTACAGCAATATGCAGCGATATCATGTACTGCTATAATTAAAAATAAATGAACATTCATTAACTGATAATACAAATGAAAAGACCTAATGTCAAAAATTCTATATATTAATATATACAGTTGAGAATCTATAATCTAAATACTTGTGATCTGGCAGTACAGGTAACCCCCGTATAACACGGCACTTCTATAGCACGGATTCACTCTAACATGGTTCAAGAATTGGTACCATCCCCCGTATAACACGGTACTTTTATAGCACGGATTCACTCTGACATGGTTTGAGAATTGGGTAAAACCCTCGTACAACATGAAATGTAATAAATTTTTACATACTTAAGTAATAATAGTTCACGAAAATTATTATTTTCGTGAACTATTAGTACTTAAGTATGTAAATTTTCTCTTCTCGCCTTCTGTCGATACACGTGGTCCTTCTCGAAACTTGTTTCAACGTTGCCAGATCGCGACGCTTCAGCTTCTGATGTTGCCGAATGTTTTTCCCTTATTCCATACTTGCTTTATTCTTCATAAGTGCTTAGCA